TTTGGATGGTAGCCATCCTTACTGGTGTGAGATGATATCTCATTGTGGTTTTAATTTGCATTTCTCTGATGACAAGCGATGTGGAGCATCTTTTCATGTGTCTGTTGGCCATCTGAATTTCTTCTTTAGAGAACTGTCTATTCAGCTCCTATGCCCATTTTTTAATTGGATTATTTGCTTTTTGTTTGTTGAGGTGTGTGAGCTCTCTATATATTTTGGATGTCAACCCTTTATCAGATCTGTCATTTTCGAATATATTCTCCCATACTGTAGGATACCTTTTTGTTCTATTGATGGTGCCCTTAGCTGTACAGAAGCTTTTCAGCTTGATATAGTCCCATTTGTTCATTTTTGTGTTTGTTTCCCTTGCCCAGGGAGATATGTTCAAGAAGAGGTCACTCATGTTTATGTCTAAGAGATTTAATTTTTTTTTTTAAGGTACTAAGGCTAAATGTAGTAAAGGTTAGTGAGTGATTGATTAAAAGATCTGGTTCCTGCTTTCAATTCCTTTCTCCTAGAAATAGATCTACAGATACTTAATGTTGTATTGCCTATTATGAATTGATGTACTTATAAAGCACAGTATGTTAACAACAGTCTAATAAAAAGATTTGCATGTGAGGCATCTTTGAACATTCCATTGTTACCAATTAGGTCATTCATTTAGTAAGCTCCTTTGGAGCACCTACTTCATATTATTTCTGTTATCGTTGATAGCAGTTGTACAGTAATCTAGTTTCAGCACAGTTGTACAGTAATCTGTAGTTTCAGCAACCAGAGATGCTTGTCTTTTTTAAATACTCTCTCTGCAATATTCATTTTGTTGGGTGGTTATTTATATGAGCAGGTGTACCACTTAGCTTATGGACTAAGCACCTGATTGGTGTTCAGCCTTAGAGAATTTCAGTTTTTGTGTGTGATCTGGTTGTTAAATTGTTTCAAAGGTTTTTTTTCCTTTGTTTTTTTTTTAATTTCTTAGTATAGAACAGTTTAGGACCTACAGTTGGTTTAAGTCCATTTTCTTAACAGTAGAAGACTTCTTGACCCAAGGCTCAAATGAGTAAAGTCTTTTTCCATGAATTGAGTAGACCTTGGTTAACCATGTTTTTTTATCACAAAGATTACTAGCTGTGGCTTCTATTCTGTCAACAACTTATAGTTTGTATGAGTATTTAGATAAGAACCTAACTGACTGGGGCTCACATTTATTTTTCTAAAGTGTCATTTTCTTATGATATGATATTTTCCATTATTCTTCCTCATCACTATTCTGACTCCTTTCCCTTTTGTCCTTTCCCTTTTGTCTTATTAGCATGAAGCCTGCAATCACGGGCACCTGGAGGTGGTGGAATTGCTGCTCAAGCACAAGGCATTGGTGAACACCACTGGGTACCAGAATGACTCACCACTTCATGATGCAGCCAAGAATGGGCACGTGGATATCGTCAAGCTGTTACTTTCCTATAGAGCCTCCAGGAACGCAGTGTAAGTAGTGCAACTTAAAAACTGTTTTTTTAGGATTTGTATTCCTGAGTCCAGGTCTGTGGTGGAGCAAAAACTTTTATACCCAAATCAATGGCCTTTTTTTTTGTCTTTCACAATTGCCATGGGATGTGACCATTATATTCTGGATTTAGAGTCTGTCATTTGTTCCATTTTCCTTTATGGTACTTACATAGTTGAGGAGGATTTGCTGTTTTAATGTAAAAAGAATTATCAAATTAATTTTGGAAGCTTGGAATAGCTGGATAAATGTACTCTAGTTTTTAGATGATTTGTACTTAATAGTAAGAAGTAGAAGCCTAGAAATAACTATTTTGTGTGCTTCCCAATTTTTCAGCATTGTTTCAAATGTTCCTTGTATGGTTTTCTCTGGATTTAGTATAACAACAGTTAAAATACGTACGAATTCAAATGTTGGGCAAGTGAAGTAGAATTATTTCTTTTATTTTTCACATCAACCAAATGAAGCTCTGTAAATTGTTTAGCAATGTCAGCACAGAGATGCATTAGTGAATGCTGGCGGCTGCCTTTGAAAATTGCTGTTGTCAAGAATGTCACAAGCAAATGCTCTATGTGGATTTTCTATCTTTAATCTATAACTTGGTTCATGTCTCCCTATATATAATTTTACTCTTTTCAGTTAATGAGGTAGAAAATGCAAGAATTGCCTCTGTACCCCCATTGCTTCTATAGGTTTGGAAGGAACATAACAAAAGTCAGGCTACTCTGGTTACAGAAGCAAATAGGAATTACAAAAGGCAGAGCTTCTAGGTTGTAATTTTTTATAGGTAACCATATAATGTAATTGAAAAACAAATTAATAATGCAGGAATGTACCATACCTTGGTGCTGTTAGTTTCAGAAAGTGTGTCTAATATCCTTTATTTCCTATCACGTGTGATGAGATAGTTGCAATAAGCTCAAGGGATACATTTTCTTCTGTTTTTTAGTTTTCTGGTTTTTTATATACACACACACATTCACACTCTCAAAACACACACTATGTTAGGTCTACAACTAACAGATATGACCCTCTGTGGGTATAGCAAGCCACTTGATAAAGCAAATGGTTGCTTGGGTCAGGTGAAACTGAATAGTTACCTTAAATCAGCCGTGACTCCTCTAATGAATGGAGCGCTGGTCAGGGCGTTAGGGAATCTAGCTTTTATTTGTGACTCCATTATTGACTTTATAGCCTCAGGCAGGTTAATTTCTGTGCCTTGCTGTCCTCACCTGTAAAACATGGGTGAAGCCTGCTGCTTCTCTATTTCTTCAGAGCACAGTGAGGATTAATGAGCCAAAATACAGGGCCTGTCTTGTGGTTTGTACACCATGATTCTTCACTACACTGTGAACTTATTAATATACAAGGTGTGGGCATGAGACAGTGAGCAAGTCTGCCTCTGTGGGTTCCTTCTCAGATAGATGTGTTGTTTTAAATAGTCTTACCTAGTGACATGGCAGATTTGGGCATGTGCATAGGCCAGCAGTGCCCAATAGATCTTTCTGCAGTGACGGAAATGCTCTGTATCTGTGCTGGGCACTGAGTAGCCACTAGCTACCTCTTCCTATTGAACGCTTGAAATGTGGCTATTGGTAGTAAGGTACTAAATTTTAAAATGTATTTTACTTTAATGAATTTAAATAACCACATATACCAAGTGGCTGCCGCATTGAACAGCTGACTGCTAACAACAGTGGGGAAGGGGGGTTTATGGTGAATGAGTTTGGAAATAGTGCTGGGGAGAGGATAGTAATGCAACTAAAGGACACATGCAGGGGTAGGTCTCCTCTGGGGTGTAATAGTGTGGTAGCTGTTTCCAAACAGTTGTTCCTTCTTTTCCAAACTGTTGGTCATCACACTCAAGTATTTGCTCTGTTTTTTGCTTTCTGTTTCATTTTGTAGTAGTTGTCTTTCACCTGATTGGCCTTACCAGTTACATAACTGCTTCTCCTTCTTTTCAGATAGCTTTTCTGTAATTCGCTCCCCATATTGCAGTCCAAGAGTTTTTAAAAAATAACAGGCCTGGTTAAATTACTTACTTGCTGAAAACCCTTCACTGGCACCTTATCTTAATGTTTTTAAAATAAGTCAAACTTCACACATGGCTTGTTGGGTGCTGGAGGGTCCAGTGCTACTTGTCTTCCCACACTTTTGCCTGTTCCCCTTTCCCTCCAGTATTTTTTGCACAGTCTTTCTAAATATTTATTTCTTAAAATGTGTCAGGCTGTTTTGCCTCCTAGCCTTTAAGCTTGCTTTCCCTTTGTCTGCAGTATACTCACTCTTTGGGTTTCATCTCAGGCATCTTTTCCTTTTGGCTGCTTTTCCTGATTCCTTTGTCTGAATGTGGGGGTTTCTGCCAGTAATGGATCTTAGGTCATAGTGAACTGGCTGCTGCTCACTCACCCCTTGTTCGGTGGTACACTCTGGGCACCGGAGTCGTGCCAGGTCTCCCAGGGTCAGCCAAGTGCCTACCATAGTCTGTTCTCACACTTACTTATAGGGTGAACTAGTGACCAGTCGAATGCATGAAATGATGATATATTTTTCTTCTCTTTTCATAAAGGATCAGATGAATTGAAAAGAGAGATTGCCTCTCTTTGCTTCCAACTTTGCTACGAGTGTGAAGAGAATGTCTAAAACTAAGTTTCCATAAGCTGCGCCTTTTCTAGTGTAAACTAGTTCCCAGTAGGTGTTAGTGAGCGATGTGTGCTCCCTGGGCAGAATTCTTAGTCTCTTGTCCATTGGGAATCCATAGTATGTTACCTTTTGTGGGATCATGTCTACCCAAATTAACTCGTATAGCCTTCAAGTGTTCAGAACTCTTTTTATTCCTGCCAATATTCTATGTATTGTCTTAAGAGTTAAAAACTGACAGTTGAGAAGAGATGAAATTCATTCCTGTGTCTTCTATTCCTTAAGGGGAGCAGGGAAAGGGGAACAGTAGTGGGGTTCTCACTGCTCTTTTCTTTTTTTTCTTTTTTCGGCCTGAAGCTCTTGTTCTTTTTAAGCTGTTAATATTTCAGACTGAATCTGAGTTGGCAAGCTTGGTTTCTTTTTTCCCTTTGCTTATTTTATCTTACAATTAATGGAACTCTTCTCTCAATAACCAGGACTGGACTCTTTCCATCCCTGGAAAAACGAAGGAGGGTAGGAACCAGAAAGGGCAAAAGCTATTCTTCTGTCCCACCTTCTTTAGGGTTTGGTACTTTGATTAATTGAAATTGTAGATAAGTAGGATCCTTCTGTTTGTGATGAATTTCTAAATGGCCTCTTTTGGCTCTAGAACAGACTTTTGGCACTCTTCATTACCTCAAGGTTGAAGTCTTTTTGCTTAGATGCCTTCCTTTCCTGCATCTCCAATGAAACCCTATTTTCGCATGCTCTGTCACTGCTCCCTTCCCTTCCTCCTCTCCCCAGTTCTATCTGCTGCACGTGTTCTCGTAGGAGTAAGCAGTTACATCACTGATTAAAGGACAGTGTGATTCATGCTTTCATAGATCAGTGCCCAGGGCTCTGTGAACATCTAGACTAGAGGCTGTAAATACGACTAGAGGAAGTCATGAAAGGCTTTCTAGAGGAACAAACACTGTAACTGAATTTTGAAGAAAAAGAATAGAAGGATGGGCTTTTCAGAAAGGATAATGGGTACACTAAAGTACTAAGGCCAGACATCCATTCAGTTCTAGGAACTTCTATTAATGATATAAGATTGAAATGAAAAGGAGGAGATAAGTGCCCAAAGAGAATGGGCAGAAGCAGTGAAAGGCCTTATGTGCTGAGTTCAAATTTGAAGTGAATGAAAACTTCCTCCTGTACACGGGGCAGGGAGCTCGGGGAGGCGCATCCAGTGCTTCAGGGGAGGAGGGACAAGAGTCTGCAGCAAAGCCGCGACAGTAGCTGTGGGAGACAGAGTGGGGAAGTAGCTGTTTTTATCAATTTATTCCTTCACATTAAATCTGATCTACTGTGCTAAGTTTTAAAAATATCCTATTAGGATTTTGAAGGAAATATATAAATTGAAGTATATAGGTTATATTAGATTTAATAAAGTTGATTTCTCACTGAGGAACATGATATTTCTCTATTTATTTAAGCCTTCTGTTATACATGTTAGTAAAGTTTTTATCTGTGTGTATATGTACATGCATCTGTTTACTGAGATTATTCTAGGTATTTGATTTGTTTTATTTCCCTGGTGAATTGGGTGTTCTATTAATAAATATAATTTGATATTCCTGAAATATAGGAAAGCTGTTGATTTTAGTACATTTCTTTTATATCTAGCCAACACATAATTCTAAGGATCTAATTATCATTTATTAACTTCCATTTCTTACTGCATTTGTCAAAGTTTCCAGAACAGTGTTATAAAATAATAGTGATAGTTGGCGTGCTTGTTTTAGTCTCATTTTAAAAAAAAATGTTGACTATAGATTTATGGTCAATATTAAAATCAGTATTAAAATAATCATTTCTAGTTATTTTATGATTTTTTAACTAGACTGTATTTTATTTTATTAAATGGTTTTCAGCTTATACTGAGGTGATCTTCTTGCCTGTTGATGTCATTAGTAAATTTTTAAATATTAAGCCATGTTACATTACTGGGAAAAACTTAGTGCATTATTCTTTAAACAAATCCGTTATATCAGTTTGCTAGGGTTTTATTTAGGATTTTGCACTTATAGCTGTAAGTTGGAATGATTTTTGGTTTTATCTGTAATTTTTTGCCCTCAGATTTTTATATTAAAATTATACCCATAGCTTCTTAAAGGTAATCAAGGATGCTTTCCATCTTCTCTAGTCTCTGGAACAAGAATGGTGTTATGGTGTTATCTTTCAGAAATAAACTCCCCCCACCACACCTGGCACAACACTATCTATTTTGATAATTTGCGTATTGTATAATATTTGGAGATCTCTCTAGTTCTGTTAACTAGTAATTATCAATCTACTTGTCATGAACTATAGGCATAAGGAAGTGATGTTAATGGAGCTCCTGTTGAAAGTGTGTTTTATAAAAGACCTATGTCCTCACCTCAAATGTACCTTGTTTTTACTCAACATCTGTTAAGTTTTGGTTGACTTTGTACTCTTTGCTACTGTAAAAATTTTAGTTTGAATTATTTCAATTGGGAATGAAGTAATCTTATAGAGAGCAGCAAAATTTTATTATTTAGCTCTGGGAAAGAGGAAAACTTGAGACAGATTATCCTGCCCTAGTGTTGTTCATTGATGTCTTTAGAAGAGAGGAAAGCTTGTATATACAAAGGCCGTGAGATCCAGGTTAGAAAGTTCTTATTCTGGTATTAAGCTGTCATGAATGGTACTAACACCAATGACTTTAAATATTAGAGAGAAGTCTCAAAGACTATCTTTTCAGCAATATTTATAAAATGTAAAGATAACAGCCTTTTTATAGCCTTGGAGGTTGGGAGAGTTAACAGCTCAGAACTATAACTAGGCATGGAATGTTTATGGTAGACCAGACATAGGAAAAGAAAGAATGGAATGTTATTTACTGCAAAGCCAAGTGAATTTGAAAGCATCTCATTGAATACCAGTAGAGGGAAATTTTGAAACCTTGTAAGACAAGGCATCATAACTAGGAATTAACCACATACAATACTAATTTAAAATATCACTGTAATCTTTATTTGCTATCTTCATTATTTAATTGAAAAAACAGATTTTCATAGAGGCTGTGATCTTCAAGTATGGATTTTCCTACTGTAAGATTTTTGGGCCTAAAGATTTATGATTATGGAGGGAGTTATATATATAGTAGAAGGCCATATTTCTACTTGAGATTTATCTGTTTTGATTTAATTTTAATATTCTAACATCTTACTTTTTTTAAAGTCACATTTTACTTAGAATACTTAATATGCTTTGAGTTTTTACTCTGGAATCTGGCATTTTTAAAATGCATATTGCATTGACATACATTATTAATTCATTTAATTCTGAATTTACTTGTGTTTTACATGAAAAACTTACCTCTTATGAGCTAAAATAAGCATCCATTACCCAATAAGGAAAAGTAGTTCTATTTTAACCTCAGATAATGAGAAAAAAGTTTCATATCTTCTGTACTTTGTTGCCTGAGAATATGTTGGTAACTGTCCAAAACCTCACTGGCCATCCTTCCTCCCCACTGCTGCCTTTGCATCCCAGTGGGAACCTAAAACAAAAGCTTTTCCAGTTACTGCAGAACCATTTTAAGTGTGTGGAGAATAGCTTACACTTTTTTTTTTTTTTAAATAGATATATGGAGTTTAGGATTTGGTACTTGTCCGTCAATAACAGGTTTCCTTGCAGGGATGTAGAATTCTTAATTAGAAAATATCTTATGAACCATTGGACCCATTAATTGCCCCACTGTCCTAGTTAATTAAAAAAAATTAATTCCCTATAACAGATAAATTAAGTTTTATAACTTTAAAAAATGTTGCTTTTTAAATTTCTTCGCATTTTCCTGCTTCACAGCAAGCCAAGTGACTCGAAAAATTAAAATCTGTGTGTTTGCAGTTTAATCATTGTTCATAAAGGATTTCATTCATGGACTATCTTGGTATCCTGTCATACGTGATAGGTTTAGCATTAGTAAAAATGTCTTTTTGCGTGTATGTTTGGGATTGATGATCTCAGTGTGCAAGTGCAAGTTTAAATTTGCCCGTCTCTTCTCCCCTTTTACTAGTGTTGAAACTCATCTTGGATATAGTTGTAGGTAATTCCACCATATTCTTTAGGGGAAAAGGTCATTAAAGGGTTTTTCTCTCTTCTGAACTCTACCTTTGCAGTGAAGCTGAAATGTTAAGCACCATAGCTTAACACTTTAATAAGAACTTCCTTTTCATCAGTCTTAGTAATCAAAAAAGATTCCTAATGAGGAAAAATTACTTTCTTCAACTAACAGTAAGTCACATTGATAGTCCCTTATGCATGTGACATGTCACTTTTTCTCCATGTAATATCTATTTTTTAAAAAGAGAATAAAGTTAATTATGTAAATTTTAAACTCATTTTTTACCTAAGTCTGTAAGCAAAATATTAGTTCATTCAAATATATCATTTTAGGGAAAAAAAGTGACCTGACTTTTTCGTGGCCACATAATAAAAGCAGAGTATTACATACACCCCATCTTCTCTTGCTGTGATTTTTTTGAAGGTGCCACATAGAAATTTGTATCTAATTGCAAATTCCAATGGTCCACGATAAAGCAGAAACATGACAGGATTTCACAGGCTCCATCTCCCATGGTGCTGAACTGAGGTTTAACCGATTATCTTTTCAATCTGTAGTGTTTGTCATGTGCCATTCTCCAGTGTATTAACAATACAGGAGGGCTAAGAGATTAGTGAATTGTGTATAAGCAGAAGTTGTCCATAATCCAAGTGGAGAGACTGAATGTTTAAAGACCATATGAAATAGTAAGCTTTGTGTAGTAAGTATTCTAAATGTAAATTATAATCCTTCTAGTCCTTTCATGAAGCAGTTCTTTAGTAAAAGCATCTGACTTGTTCAGACCAGTTTTTTTTATTTTTGGCTATTTTTTGTTTAAAGTCCTCACTAGCTGGTAGTGGGAAGTACTTTCATTAACAGTTTTCCATGTCACAGTGAACTTCTGTTTGTATTTGTGTAAAATAACTATGCTACAGTTCCTGTGCACTACAGTGCACTTGTTTGGGTTGTTAAATTTTATTTTCTTTTAAGTGAAAAGCCTATGTTTGTGTTTTTCAAAAAGTCCTTATGTACGCAGTGATGTTTTGATGGCATATAATGTGATGTATTTTTTTATTGTTCATTGTGCACTTTGTGGTTTAAGAGTTAGAATATTGGTTCTTTAACTCAGATCTCTACTTTTTGTTTGTCATACTACAGACTATGTGTGTGAGGAGATTGTGTATTTGGTACATGGTGGGCATACTGATTTAGAGAATGCAATTGAGAAGTATCAAGTATAGTGGATGAAATCAGCTACCTTTTGAAGTAAGCTGAGATTGCCTGCTCTAAATGTATGGGAATTGGGAAGAACCAAATTCCAGCACAGTGACTTGTCACTTTGTTGTAAATCAGAAAGTTGAAACACAATTGACTGTATTATACCTTGGCTGGAGAAAGACTCGCCCGAGGAAGGGCACACAGGTTTGGACCTGGGCCTAAAGGGGACTATGAGAATATATCACTGTTTACCTGGCATCGTCCCGGGAAAAAAGAGTGACTGAACCTGACAGTCCTAAATGACAGTGATTAGAGAAACATTTGCTGTAGTTCACTTCTTAATACACTTGCTAGCTTTTCCAGCTACGTCACCAAAACAGCTTTCTTCTCTGTCATTAATGATCGTGCCTCTAACCCCATTTGATGCTTATATATCCCTCTTCTATATGCCTTCCATGTAGCATCAAACAGAGTTGATACCTTCCTCCTTTGTCCTCCCCTAATGGTTCACTCCATTGCCTTTTAGATCTTTTTCTGTACATTTACTACAACTTTAAAACCTGGTTTTGTACCATGTTTAACATTTTATATCCGGTTTAACACATTGCATTTTCACTTAATGGCCAGTATATGGATATACCATAATCTTAAAATCCATTAAAGATTATAAAAGAAACACTTATTTTAGAAAACTTTCTTCCATAGTAAAATATATACAATCATTTTGAAACCGTGTGTAAGAAAGTGAAATAGTAGGCAAAGGCCATATAGTTTTTATAATTCACTTATAATTGAAAGACTGATGGACAATATCGAATATTATTGGTGTGAATGAGGAAAACACAACTTCAGTCAAGTCATTAGAAGCTTCCTGTCTTCACTTTCTCATCTGTGAAATAAGAGTGGTATGTCCTGTGTCTCTGAATCTCTTCAGTGTGCATGTTGGGAAGACTGCATCAGCTTGTTTTCCGAACCATACCCGCCCGTGCTGTGATTGCTGTAATAATGGTGCACAGACATTAAAATTAAGTCTAGAAGGTCTGTATTCACTACTTCATAAAATTGTCATATAGCATAGTTTTCTTTCTGGTGGATCTAAATGCCTATCCTGTTAATTTATCTAATTTCACTATTTGTTTATATAGATTGCAGAACCTATAATAGCTACAGTAGATGATTTTCATTTGCATTTGAAAGCAGCTCACCATAGTGATTAATGATTATGAAGCTGTATTTTCAAATGTGAATACAGAACAATGTAGAGTTGTGAAAAAAATTCACATGTAAGTAACTATATGTTCAATTAAAAATGCTCCCTGTAATGGTCTGGTGTCAAACTGAAATTTCACATCTTTTTTCCTTTGAATTCAGCAGCTTGTGACATTTGATCCTTATGCGGTGTGAAAATTCTGAGTCATTTATTTGAGTGTAAATTGTGTATTATTAAGGAAGTTGAAAAAATCATGCATCCATTTAGTTAAGAATCAAGTCACACATTTCATTTACTTAAACCCATCTGTACTTATTTTACCAGTAACATATTTGGTTTGCGGCCTGTGGATTATGCAAACAATGAAAATATGAAATCGCTATTGCTGCTACCAGAGAATGAATCATCATCAACTAGCCACTGCCCAGTAGTAAGTATGGATTTAGCTTTGGGAAGTTTATATCTTTTATTGAAATTGCTTATGAAAGGAACATAATGGAAAAATTTCCAGTTAGCAAATTGCTTTCAGTTACCAAACAGTTATTGGGCACTTCCTGTGTATTAGTTACTGTTAGGCTGCACTTCAGGCAGCGTTCATACAGCAGTGAGAATGACTGATAGAACTCTTACTCTCCAGGAGCTTACATTCTAGTGAGAAACAGGAAAGAGATGGACTGTAAATATATATAATAAATTTATATAATATAAATAATTCCAGAGACTTACAAATGAGTGTTTTGATGAAGATTTTGTAGACTATAATTGGAGGTTGAGGGCTCCAGGAAAGGCTCTGTGTTAGGGTCATTGAGGAGAGCCTTTAAAGAACTGATACTTGATTTCAAACCTGATGGTGACAAGGAGGCATCTAGGTGATTGTCTGAGAGACAAGGGTTCCAAGCAGAGAACAGCAAACATAGGCACCTCAGTGGATGAGGTTGGTGTGTATGAAGGTTATAGAGAAGGTCCTTATTACTGGCAACCAGCTAGTATCTAAGAATAATGGGAGACCATCAAAAGGGTTTAAGGCAAGGGAATGACATGATCTGATTTATGCTTTAGGAAATTTACTCTGGCTGCTAGGTGATAAAGAGACTATGGGATGTGGACAAGAGTGGAAGCAGGGAGATCACTTAGGACTGTTTCACTGTGACAGGGTAGAGATTCTGTGATGACCTGGATTAAAGTAAATAGCTGTGGAAATGAGAAGTAATGAGGTTAGGGATATATTTTTGAATTAATGCCAACAGAACTTTCTGATGGAATATATATCAAGTGTGAAGAAAGAGTAGAATTAGTATGACTTTAGCAATGGAGTGAGTAGATTGTGGCACCATTTCTTGTCTTGGGGAAAGAAATCTACAGGTCTTTTTGCCAATTTTATGTCTGTAAGGCAGCAAATGGAGATGTTGGACAGACAGCTGGATGGGTGAGTCTGTAGCTTAGGAGACAGTTATAAACCAGAGATGGGGTGGAAAGAATGCTGATTCCTTAGGAACCTATAGTTTAGTGGGGAATATAGATGTAAAAAATTCATTATACATTGTAATAAATTTATAATAGAAGCCATAAAAGTGTGCAGTAGAATCAGAGAAGGAATGCGACTTCAGGAGGATTAGAGCTTCACAGAGAAGGTGACAGGGAAGGTGTCCTAAGTTTTTAAAAGAAAAATTTTTAGGTAAGTATCTAATAGCATGTTACTGGCTACAAATAACAGAAAACTTTTCCGCAAATACTTGAAAGACAGTGTATTATCTTATGTAAAGATAATCCTAACATACGATACTTTCTTTCTGGTTAGTTGAGCAATTCAGTGGCTGCACCAAAGACCCAGATTCTGTTTTTCTGCTTTGCTCTCCTCAGCTTGGTGGCTTTGCCCTCCCTAACCTCCTCTGAGTGGCTTTAGGAAGAATCGCCACAGTTCCAGATGTGACCGTGTCCAGCGTTAAAAGGAGGACTAAAACCTTTCCCGAAAGCATTCCACGGGGCTTCCCCTTATGTCATTTGTCAGAACTGGTCACACAGTTGATTTTGACATACCTTGTAATTAAAGGTAGTGTTTAGTCTTTGAAGAATGGATATCTGAACAAAATTAGGATTCTGTTAGTGTGGAGGAAGTGAGGAATGCATTTTGAGTGGATAGTGAACATTAACCATCGCAATCAAGTATACACAGTGGGGATAGCAGTCCAAATCTAAGGAACCACTGTTCAGAGACAAGGAGGCCTAAAGGACCTTAGAAATGTGAACAACCAGTGTAAGATGAGTATAGGATGCACTAAGAGGAATTAGAGGCGAAGAGCTAGGTTGGGATCGGATTGTGAAAGGCCTTGACTTCCCTGAGGAGGAATTAATGGGGCACCCTCAGTGTGTTTTTAAATGGAATAAGATCGAGTAGGAGATAGGTAGTAGTGGGCTGAGGCTGAAGACTGGTTAGGCTGTAGGAGTAGAGCCCAGGTATGAAACAGTGGGGACTGGATCTGCAGTGGGTAGTAGTTATGTGGGCATGGAGAGAAGGGGGATTTAGAGAGGAGGCATGGTGGACTCACTGTACCTTAACAACTGCTTGGATCAGGGAATATGAGAGAAAGGGATGAGTGGAGGTCTAGGACCATTCAGAAAAGACTTTTTCTCTAGTAAGGGCAGAAGAGTGGGATTGATGCCATTGCTTAAGGTGAGGAGGTGATGAAGGTATTTGGGACTTGATGTGGTTATAGGTGCCATCACAAGGGAGTTACCTTTTTCTTTTGAAAATGCCTATCTCCTGCTCTTGACTTTGGCCTTTTTTAAGTGTGCCCCAAGCTGTAGGTTTTGTCATGAACTGGAAGAGAACTAGAAATCAGTGTAATTTTCTCATTTTGTAGTAAAAAAGCTGAGGCATGGTGTGATTTGCCCAGTGTTAATCAGCCATAAATAATCTTTAAAAATTTTTTGAATGGCTCAGTTACAACTCAAATTTCATAAATCTCAGGTCAGTACTCATTCAGTCCCACCATATTTAATAACTGCAAACTGGCACTTATTCATTTGGACTTGAACTCTCCTGGCAAAACATAGCGTAACTAAGTTGCCATTTTCCAGTGTTCCTTTTATGTGAAAGCTGGAGAACGATTATTTTAAATGTGTCAAAAATAAAGATATCTTTATGGTATTCTTCGTGTCTGAGGATGGCAGTGCCTTTCAGAGGAGAGGAAAGTGATTATCTCAGTTCTGCTGTCAGTTGCTGTGTGTCTTCATTAAATGTAAGGAACCTATACTTTCTGCGTATCACGTGGACATGACCTGTGAGTATTATTTACTAGGTTAATGGTGGGTACTTAGCTAAGGAAAAGTAATGAATGATAACCAGTCATAAACTGAAAGGGTTGTTTTTTCTGGGATCTGCTTTCCGCCAGCTGCTACCCCTTTCTCAGCCACACTGCTGCCGCATCCTTTCTTGAATCACCGAACACGCTCCCATTTCAAGTCCTTAGCAGTAGCTGTTTCCTCTGCCAGGAACAAATGTAGGCAACTGGCTGTAGACGTGGCATGCTTCCTCGCTCCCTTCAAATGTGACTCTAGTCTGGTCCTGTACTCTACTGTATATTAAATAGCAACCTCCCAGTGTGTCTTATCCCCTTGATACTATTTTATTAGAACATATCAGGATCATCTGACAAAACACATTTTATTTTACTGTGGTTTGTTTTTCGCCTCCCAACCAGAGGGCAGGGACTTGTCGCTTTTGTTTATTATAACAGCCCTAACACTGAGAACAGAGTCTGGCAAATAGTGGATGCTCCGGAAGTGCTTGTTCAATACATGAGTGAGTATTGGAGAGACTTTCCTGGTACATGGTTGCTTCTGAAACAGAGTGCCTGCTAGCTGAGCCTGAAATCCTTCAAATCAGTGATTTCCGAGCTATCCTGGGAGCTGCTTCAGGGAGAGCATCATGCAGAAAGGAAAAGGGTGATAAATGGGTTGGTTTTAATTTCTCTGTTTCCCTAGAGTTTTTGTTTCAAGTAAAAATTAATGGTTGTTGGAAAATTCTACTTTCAATTTGAGAAGCAGTCTGAGCTTAAAGACTTGAGAAGCTGCTTGCCTCTGTGCTTTCTCTGCCCATAATGGCTTTGAGCAAGCATGTTTATCCTTTTTTCATAATTTTTTAATTGCTATTTTTGATTAATTAATTCAGAATACTTAATTTATCTAAGAAATAGTTCCATGTTCAGTTGTTCTCTGAGTTTCTTTTATGGTATCTAATCTCTAGGGTGTTGAACCCTTGGGATGTTTTTTGAACATCTTTTGAACCTCATGGTTCTGAGACCTCTGCTTAATCAGACCAAATACCCCTCACCTCCACCCCCTACCCCAAATCAGACATGTGCTTTGGCAGCTGTTTGCTTAATTAATTAATTAATTAATTAATTAATTAATTTTCTTTACCATTCCTTAACTGTGAGAAACTAGTGTTAGTTACTGGGTTTTTTTTAATACTACTTAAAAATCTGTAATAGGAAAATGCTTGACCCACTTTGGTGCTTTTCTTGTGTTGATAGAAATAGTATTGTGTGCTGTATTTAGAACTGATATCTTTCACTCCTGAAATTTGTGCAGAGAACTAATTCAGCTCAAGTGGAGTTACATAAATTGAAAAGTAATGTGTTCCATTTAGAGCTGCTTTTATGGCACTTATTGTATAACTGATAAGAATTTACTCTTTTTTAATATTGTCATCATATAGTAATTGAACAATCCGTAAAGTACACTGACCCATTTTCATGCTATGGAATGGTCACAGTTTTTAGGTTAGACATGGCTATGTCACCTTCTAACGCAGTGACCAGAAAAGATACTTACACAAAAGTGTGATGTGAATATGTGTGTGATATGTATAGCATGTCCAGTGTAACCTTTGCAACTTGAACCTTAGAGGAATAAATAATTCAGGAAACAGCTTTTTTAGTGCTGAATATTGCCATTTGAAAAAGCTTTTCGTAGCAATCTAAAAAAAAATGCCTTGTGTACATACTTGCTTAATACAAGGTAGAATCTCATTTAATATGTTTTGAGCAAAAGAATCATTGAACTTGATCTGTTTATAGATGTAGCCAACAAAGTAGGTGTAATTCCGTAGGGCATCAGACTAATTACATTATCAGACTGCCGTGTGACTTGAGTATGTAAGTACCAGCTTTCTCTAGTTGCTGAACTGTATGGGTGTTCGCGCCTGTTAGTGTTTCGCCCTTGTTACTTAGAGCCTCTGACTTCAGTACGCATGAACATTCCCACACGTAGGAGGGCCCTGTGCTTTATATTTGAAAACCACGTTATTGTGCGCTTGGCTTTCTCTCCTTTAATACAGTGGTGCTGACTTGCCTTTTCTTTCTCTTTGCTGGGTCAGTGTTTATCTCTTGTTGGGTAGCTTTTGGCTACTCATTCCATCCCATCGTTGGCTGCTAGTGAAGACACTAGCCCATTATTTCTTTGACTTTCACTTTTAATCTCTAATGCTCCATTGGTGTTTTCTCTCTACTTTTGTTGTTTTTGTCTCCTGTAAGTTCTTATAAGTCTTGTTATTAAAAAGTCTAGTTTTTGTTAGAGCACTTCTTTCCTCTTCATGAGCTGCATTTGCTTATTACTGTTGGTTGATTTGATAAAACTTTTATGTTCTCACGTGTGTTTTAGTTCTCTTGTTTTTAAGAGGTAACCGTTTTCAAGGTTGAAAATTTGTTTTCTGTCTTTGAGACCAGCACTGTCCTAAAAACCTTGTTAGTGTTCTTTTCACATAATCTCAGTTTAAGTTAACAAGACCAGGTTGAGTTTAACTTTATTGCAATAAATTAGTGGAGGAGAGAGAGGGAATTGATCATTTTAACTGGGTATTATTATTATTGTATTTTTGGTTACTTAAAAAAAAAAGGCTTACTGGTGACAGAATAAAGTTGTAAAACTCTAGAGAGACCCAATTTGGAATCAAGGATGGGGTAACTACACTTTACTGCGGTGAGCATTTAGTAATGTATGTAATTATTGTCACTGTGTTGTACATCTGAAACCAGTCTAATACTGTATATCAACTATATTCCAAGTAAACAAATCTAGAAAACAGGATGCCTGGGTATGGATAGCTATCTCAAGTAGCATTTTATTGGGGGGATAATAAACAAATAGAAAAATAATGATTCAAATTCATTGACTGTTAAGGTTCAGAGTGACAGTTCAGTGGAAGAAAATTTACTGGGAATTACTAAATAGAGTAAGCCAAATTCAAGTAATGAAATTCAGGCTTACATCCATTAAAAGTCAGTTTAATATCTTTCTCTAGTCTGAATGTTTTTAACATTGTGGCATCTCCTTTGTCATTAACAGATGAACACTGGTCAGCGTAGGGATGGACCTCTTGTTCTTATAGGCAGTGGGCTTTCTTCAGAACAACAGAAAATGCTCAGTGAGCTTGCAGCAATTCTTAAGGTTAAAAAATGTGCTGAGTTTGATAGTACAGGTGAGGATTCTTATTTATTTGCTTATTTTTGGTAGAAAATTGTTAAATAAGTAATCCCTTTATTGAACTCCCATTGATACTTTATTACATTTTAACCATTGGGCTATCCCTGTATACTTATATTTTAGGGCAGAACAATATGTTAGAAGAGCAAATTTATGAGTTTGTTAATGACTAATTGTGTAGTGTAGTGCCTTAATTCCTTAATACTTTAGTTCCAATATAAGTTATAATTAGAAAAAAAAATTTGTGTTGCTAATGTGGCTTTAAGATAAATAGTTTATGATCTGATTTTTCGTATAATTGGCCAAGATAGAAAATGATACTAAATAAAAGAAATTTTATACCTAAGTGTAAAAATTGTTGGTTTTGAGGAAAATTCATATATAAGTTTATAAAATGTAGACTAACAGTTATAGTAAAGAATTACTTTGGTTTATATCTCTTTCACTAACTGCTTTTTTTTGTATTCTAGTAACTCATGTCATTGTTCCTGGTGATACAGTTCAGAGTACTCTGAAATGTATGCTTGGAATTCTCAGTGGATGCTGGATCTTAAAATTTGAGTGTAAGTATTGGATTTGGGAGAATTACAGAATGAAGTAAGTAGACTGATTTCATTTTTTATAGTGCATTACTGCCAAAATTATTTAAGGAACTTATGTTAATTTCTTACCTATGGTTAGTTACTACATTTTGAAAAAATAATAATATCATTTAGATCTCATAGTAATGATATCATTTGGATGTTCTTGGTGAATGTCCACAAATATATTCTGGCTTTAAAGTCTTTCTACAGTACCAACTATTTTAATAAAGAGTAAATGGACTATATAGTAGACTTTTAAGCTTAAGTGATCCACATTATTATTAAATGATATATTTAACTTAATGCATGTTTTAAAATACACTACTATGGAATGAGGATACTTTATTGCCTTTGCTAGAGGAGTTTTAAAAACTTACATGTATAACCCGTTTTGCTTTCTTAGCTAATCCGGTATATATTAGGAAGCTGCTGGGAAGTGTAGACCTTGTATTTGGGACGATTATACCAGCTATTGTCTAAACTTTTGCTGAAAATATATCCCTATTACCCACTTCTTGTTGGTAGTCAACCACAGCCACCTCAGAGCTACTGCCCTCCTCCCCTACTCTCACTGGTGTGCTTTTCTTAACCTTGGATTCTCTTAGGACTTAGAACGGAAAGAAAGCTCATACAGGGTTATTTTCTGTTCCTCAATAGCAAAGGTATCTACTTTGAATACAATAGTTAAAATTCTGACAGTGGATTGATTTTTTATTGTTGTTGTTAAGTAAGTGTTTAGAAAAGGATAGTGACTGTAAAGGGGTTACACAGGGAGTCATGTGATACAGCTGAGTGTCTTGATCCTAGTGGTGGTGAGATTACACAAGGCTACCCATGATTAAATCTTGTACGTCTACATGTGCACACATGAGCAGTCATGTACACACACAAGTGCATGTATAAGTGATGAAATCTGAATAAGCTTTATGGATTGTATCAGTGTCAAATTCTTAATTTTAATCTTGTGCTATAGTTGTACAAGATGGGACACTGGAGGAAGGGTGCTGCATGGATTCCCCTAAACATTTCTTTGAAACCTCCTATGAATCTATAATTACTTCAAATTAAAGAATTTAAGGAAAAAGAATAGCAAGTATTTTTAATGCAGCTTCTTTTTAAGAAGTAATGGATTAGAATTAGTTTTAAAAACTTTTGTTTTATGGCTTTGTGCTTTGAAGGTTTTATGGTAGAAATGCTTGATTTATCAGATCTTAATTATGTTATTAATTTCATTCATAGTTTGAAGTTAATTTGGTTTGTAAAACAGTTTCCTTTTGGCAGTTGGTATTCATGTCCTTTTTAAATGCAGCTTCCACCTTTCTTGTGATGCTGGTCTCCTCTGATGCAGTCTGATCAGCTAGGGGACTGTGGCTGGCAGTGCCATTCTGTTCTCTCACTCTCTGTAATTGCTCTCTCCCACTCATGACCAGTTTAAGAAGTAGGATAAGTAATTAAAAATTGTAAATTGGCCATTTACATAGGGAAAAAAAGGTTTCCTTTATATCTCAGTGTTATTTTTGAAACTTGTTTCCCATTTCAAATATGTAGCAAGTCTTACTGGACTTCAGTGTTTAAAAAAACATTGATTTAGAATAGTTCCATGATTATAGGTGGCTTTTGTACTGAACCTGTGCCAGAAACCTTGCTAGTGGTTATAGGAAGGCATCGGTTTTCGTAGTAATAAGGTCTCAGTAATAAGGAAGCCATGTGAAAATCTGAATGTTAGGCATTTGCCACTTTAAGTCTAGTTCTTGTGAATATGCTGAACTTGCCTCTGGTTACAGATACAGGCTACACGATTCATTTCCATAAAATCTGCCTTCTCTTAAGAGATGGGAGTTTTGCCAACTTAGTGGCTTGGCCATGTTCTTTTTACAGGAACATGGATGGACTCGATCTGACTTAATAGTATGCTATTTGTTGATTCTCACAGTAGTGAATAACATACTCTAATATCAATATTTCTTTTAAGAGAAAGGATGGAATCCCTTATTGAAATTTATCCACATGTTTTCTAACACAATGTCAAAGAGAAATAGGTTCAGTTTGAGACAGTTACACTTAAAATAGTCATTGGGTTTATAAAAAGAAGGGAAGAACCCTCAAATACCTTCTTTCCTAATACATATGTTTAGCATTGTTCTTAGTGTCAGGCATCTCAGTTTGATTTAAAAGAATGTTCTGAGCTATTCAGAACTATCTGAAAATGATCGATACTAAAGAAAGATGAGATGGAGCAAAGCTTTAGAAATCAATTGTAAAGATTTATGAGTTAAAAATAGATCTGTGTTTGAGGATATCCATTAGCTTACTGGAAGATAGGTTTTTACTGGTTTAACTATATAGAAACTTTAATACCTTTTTATGGGATTTTCCATAAACTATGTAAATTCAAAAGGAAATTTTATCTAAACTTTCTCTAATTGACTCATTTAACAAATTAAATGAACAAAAAGAATGAGAACTATCTAACTTTATTATAGGCTTTTTTGTTCAACCATGTTTTCTCTTAGCTGGTTAGTATCTCTTATTTTCCTACATTACATATGTTGAGTATATTACAATGTTGCTTACATAGTAATGGAGTTACTGTGAAGATTCTGAGAACAGTCCGTAATTATATCATTGGGCCATCCATTGTCATATTTATTTTACAGATATTTTACAGAAATATCTGTATTTCTTACAATACCCATACACAGATGGATTTTGGTAATGAAAGAGGCGATTAGAATGAAAGAAGAGAAGGTACCTAAAAGTAAGACACATTATTCATCTCTTGGGAATAAGGTGGATCAAAACTAGCCTTAAGAAGAAAATTTCTACTAACCTGTCCTTTCAGTACACTGCTTTCCAAATTTCTGTAGCCTAACCTTTTAAAAATGTTAATTGTGCCTCTTTATTTCTCATCTCATTGCTAAGGCAGGGCAAATGCCTTTAACAATCTCTCCTTCTACCCTTCTCTCATCCGTTTAAATACAGTAGCTGCTGTAGTTTTGACAGTCCTTAGCACCTGAGGGAGCTGCTGTGTGAATGTGCCATAATACACTGGACTCATCTGAAGATTTGGGGAAGAAGCACCGAGTTAAGGCACATTTTTATATTTGTTTTCTTGAGAAGGTTGGAACCTAAAAGACAATCATTACATCATCCTATTATAAATAACCTCAGAATCAGATTTACAAGGTTATACTTTTCTATTAAAATTTGTTTCTTCAAATGGATATTGCGAATGCTATGGAATTTTAAAACAAATTTAATTTTTATTCTATTCAAACTTCACCAGTTATTAAACAGTTAATATGCCAAGACATTTCTATCAACTAAGATTGATTGGGCAACTTCATGCTTACTGAAATCCTTTACTTAAAAAGATTACTTAAGAATTAAAGAAAAGTGACATAACATCCTTTGATCTAATAGTCCCACTTCTGAGAATTTATCCAAGTAAATAATACAGATGAGAGAAAAAGACTACTTTTATTATTTCTAATAGAAAGAAATAGGAGGAATAACCTAAATATGAGAAAATTAAGAAAATTCTGGAATGCTTAAAGGTATTCTCTGAAAAAATTCATTTTTTATGATATTTAGACTGACATCTTATGAAATAACAGGGTTATTTAATATTTTAGAAATCATAAAGCAATTATATCTTCACTTTCCACAGTGTATAAGTGTGTGAATGCATTTAGGCAAAGAATCAAAAGGACATAGTGGCAGATTTGTAGGCAGAGGCCTGTTTGTTTAAAACAGTTTTTAAAATGTGTGTCTGTTAAATGGAACCCAAGTTAAAAGAAATTAAACTTCTCAAGTTCTGATAACACTTAGAAACTATATTTTCTTTTTAACTTTTCCAAAGACTAATAGGATAGGTAAGGACTTCAGTCTTAGTCAGGAAAATTAGAACCTGTGGTGTAAATTTCTCCAGTCTGATATACCAGATCTTGTATACCTTGGATCTAGCAAATCCATTTTAATGTGGTGATTGTCCTAATCAAAACAGAAATTCTTACATAAATATTTTAACTTTAAATATGTAACTAAATTAAAAAAACACCAGGTGTGAGTTTTTAAATTGTTAAGAAAAATTTTGGACACTAGACTGACTTTGGTCTTTAACAACATCTCTAAAGAGGATTATTTATTGTTCATAATGCAGTTGACCCTTGAACACTGTGGGGCTTAGTGGTGTCAGTCCCCCACACAGTGGATGACTGTGGATGACTTTTGACTCCCCCAAAGCTTAACTACTAATAGCCTACTAACTATTTAACTGTTGACTGGAGGCCTTTACTGATAAACAATCCATTAACATAAGTTTTGTATGTTATGTTTATTATATGCGGTATTCTTTCAGTAAAGTAAACTAGAGAGATGTTATTTTTTCAAATTGTCACTAATCTTTAAAAAGTTTCCAATATATTAAAAAAAAACATCTGTTTAAAAGTGGAGCCTCCCAGTTCAGGCCAGTGTTGTTCAAGGGTCAAATGGTACAAGGCTTGAAAATTGATAATGAAATTTTGCCAAAGAAAATTTTATGTATCAGTAATACATTTTTGTCATAGAATTTGACCTGCTTCTGAATAGGCATTAACTAAGATAAATAAATTTCAGCATACTATCCTATGAGAAAATGTATTTTTATATATCAAATGTTTGTAATAAGAATACTGGCTTAAAAAGTAGTCAGACATAATGAATTGATAAATGTTATTTGTATGGAATCACAAATCTAATGACCTGTGACAGTATTTTCTGTGATATCCCAAGTCTAAATGTTTATGATGGCACGAATGGACCTAATTTAGCTTTTTATTTTACATTTTCAGCCTTCATTTCATTATCCTTGATAGAATCTGGACTTGAGTACCACCTTTTGAATAAGCCCCACCCACCATCACAGAGCTACCTAGGTGTTATCTTACCTAGGCTACAAGTATCCTCCTCCAGAGAACACAACAGCAAGCCACAAGCCCACCTTTCTCCTGACCCCTCCCCTCAAAGAGCCCACCAGAAACCCTGGCCATAAAAAGCCTCTTGGCCTGCTAGAGACCCTTTTCCTTTGGACTGCTGATCAGGACAGAGGGGGTCCTCTCAAGTTCAGCAGTAAACCTGCTTGGACTGTTGAGTTCGCATCCCCACTCTTTCGTATATCCCCTCTTTTTCTTTCACTATCCCCTCTATCCCTTTCATCTATTCCCTCTATCCCTTTCAATGCTTTTACCCTTTCCTGTGACATTTCATAATACTGGGCTTATTTCTTCTTTTACTTGCTACCCAGTGTTCCAAAAATTGCAGTGAGAGTAGTTGACTTCCACTTTTATGTCATTGTAATGGATTTCCTCCTGTGAATTCCTTTTCTCTAATGTTTAGTGATACTGTAACTCGGAGAAAATTCCCAGGCAAAATACATTTGGAAACGAAATCAGTCAAATGGAGAAATAAAATTTAAGAAACCTGTTTATTTCTTACAAGCAGTTGTCCCATCCCTCTCCCGACCAGGCTGCAGAAGCCCCCACCCAACCAGATAAGCCCTGCTAGTCCTTGTAATTACCTATCGATACGGAGATGGACTGCTCCTCTCCATTTCCTGGAAATATTCGTTGTATGGAGATGCACTAAAGCCAGGCGAGAGATTCTGCAAGTATTGCAGTTTTACCCAGATATCATAGCTTATTTGACTAAACAGCCTAGTAGAAGAGCATTTTTAAAAACTTTTTTTGTTTTTACAACCTGGGTATTCGTTTTTAATAGAATCAAAAAGGGAATTCTTAAGTATTTATTTTACATATGCTGTTATCATGAATTATGTTAACTGCCTATTTTGGATCTAATGGCATATTTTATGAGGAATTTTGGTTTTGACAGAATGGCATTTGGTTTTGTATTTTAATTTTTTTTTTTTAGGATATTTGGTGTTGACTGAGAGTGATATTTAATTCTGATTTTTCAGTGTTCTTTTAGTTATAAATCGCCATTAGTTCCAGAAGAATAACATTCTTTAAAGTATGGATTTATTTACTGCTCTAGTTTTTGAAGAAAGCAAGCAAATTCCATGGAGGGGTCATTTCCCCTTTTGGACTTTTAACAGAACTCCATCCTAAAGCTTTATTCTGTCTTCATTGTATTCTATAATCAATTGTGTGTAGCTGTGGATTTAGGAACCTGTTTTTTCTACTCCCTCTCCTTGTTCGATACTTTTTTTTTCTTCTGAAACTAAAAAAACTGACTACTTAATAGAGCTTCATGAACATCATTAGTAATTCATGCAGCTTAAATGAAAATACACACACACATATCTATATGCTGCTATGGGGTCGAAGTAAAGATTGCTTATCAGAGATTTAAAATAAAATAATACCTTTCTGTATAGTACAAGCTGCTGTTTGGAAAAAAAAAAAAAACAATTGTAGCCCAGAATTTGTAAGCTACATTAGTATGCAAAGATTCCAGACTGCTAAAGTAGCCAGTGCTACTTATTGACTTGGAGTTAATGACTTTGAGTTAAACAGAACTTTGGGAATTGGGCTGCTTCCCTATATATGAAAAAGTAATAAGATCAGGGCCACAGGAAAGCTTACCTGAAATGGTAGACATGATCAGGAATACATATGGGCTAAAAGAATATCTTACTTTTAATAAGATAGGTAGTTCATTCCTGTATTTCTGCAAAATGATAGCTTCAGTCAAATCTTACAATATAATGGAACACATGATAAGAAAGGATATAAAGCATTCCTTTGTAAGGATAGCGGCTTGACATATTTCTAGTTATATTTTCTGGCATATGCAGAAATCTATGTTTATACAATGGAACTTATTCATGTAAAGTCTTTTCAGTTTGGAAATTAATAGCTGTGAAAGCTAACAAGTCTTGCATATGCCTTTTCCTTCAAAAGAGAAAATAAGAGTCCATCTTTCTACTAAACTATTATGGTGGCCAGTGATGGAATATTACAGACTTTATCAAGTGCGTATTACAAATACAAAATACATTTTGGTTAAATTTTAAGTGTCTTAATTGGTAGAAAATGGCCTATTTTTCAATCTTGACATATGTATAGTGACTAAAGATTACAGTATATATTATACTTAAGATGAATTTATTCCTAGGAGTGTTGTGAAAGTTTGAAATTTTGTTTGACATGTAAAATAGGTTTTAAGAATTCATGCTGCCGTTTGCTTAGCTTTTATTGCGTAAATAACACCTTAAAATATCATCCATTATTTAGGCTTGTTAATTAGGTAAAGTTTTGGTTGGTAGATTCTTCATTTCATTGATATTAACGTATCACCATTTAAGTTGCTGGAAGTTCATTTTATAGTTCATTCTTTTTTTTGCATGTTTAGTAAATCAGTTGGTCTATCTCAAGAGGTTCACTAGGAAGTTGATATGATTTATAATTATCATAAATGTCTTCTGAGAAGTAAGTCTTCATTCTGAAACCAGTAGGTTACCATTAAAGGATGGAAACTGACATCAGATAGATTAAATAAACTCACTGACTCACTAAAGATAAAGCCACATGCATTGTTCTTCCCACGCCTCCTGCAGTGTAGCATAAGCAGTTTTTGTCATTTGGAATACTTTTTTGGCTAATCTCTTAAAAATAAGGATTGTCCTATTTAGTCATCTAGTAAACGTTTATGTGATTTATTGTTAAGAGAGGTACAATATATAGAGAATGCCTGGAATTTTTTTAGATGGTTTATTTTTCAATAAAATAAAGGGTAAAGAATAAAGATTTAAAAAAACTTGTAGGAATTGGAGGATATCTGAGTTTTCATCTCTGTTATGAAACTGGGAAAGCTGCTTAAATTAAATCTTCCAGGACTCACATTTCCTTATCTCGGCAGTGGAGAGGTTGATTAAACAAGCGTCAGGGGTTTCAGATTGGCCTGCATGAGGGCCAGAGCAGATACACTTTATGTGGTTAAGTCCAGCATAACCAGTTAATTTTTGTGTCATAAAGTATAATGTCCATTTTCCTCTTTGTTACAGTCTTCACAACTTCTACCATTTAACACCAGGTTCCTCACAGGTTTATGTCATCGGGCCTTGGATTTGAGTTGCAACCCTTGGACTAGATGTCACTCGTAGCTTTCAGCAAATACTCGATGTTTTTCTATGTTGTGACAGCAACTCTTTGACACCATTCAAATATGTTGTTTTGACCTGGAAACTGTTTCTTAGTTTTCAGTGGGGGAAAAGTGATTTTTCTTTCTTCTCTTGTTGACGTTAGGTGGCAGATAAGGGTAGCAAATTGTTACTTAGAATAAAAGTAACAGAGGAATATATTCTTAATTCAGCTCAGTCACTGCAGTTAGAGCATTGGAGTTTTCTGCCTTACTTTGCAGAAATTTACTGAACAACTATTATAAAGCTGAAAGGTTTATGACTCAAGACAATGTTTATACTGTAAGAACACTGGCATTTTTCCATGGAAGTGCCACGCTGCCCTCTTGGTGTCTGCTGTTTCATTTTCTTGATGTCATGCCCCTTCTAGTATCTGTTAGGGCTGCATTCTGTTGATTGACTAATGCTAGCAGATTGCCAGGATCAATGGATAACCATTTTAATACTTTTTTTTTGACAGTTTAATCAACAAATCCATAAAATGGATAAGCAGCCAGCATAGGCACAGGTCATTTATTTATTTCTGTAAAATTAGACATTAGCCATTCATTTGTTAGTAGATATCATAGGAATATTCATTATTCAGTCCTTGGCTTTATATGCTGGCATATTCATTCATCTAAAGATACTGATGTGAATGCTCTGCAAATACATTAGGAAAGGAGATTTAGGAAGGGGACCACATGCTTAAGTGATAAAAAGTGAAGGTAATAATTTATATGTAAAATAATCTTGAGGTAAGTGAATGATTAGCTAGATTGCTCATTTTTTTAGGCTGGTGTTTAATATAAAAACAGTATATGATGCAATGTAAGCACACTGGTGATGTCTGACTGAGTCAAAATTTTATTTTAAGACTCATTTTTAGTATACAGTGAGTATTTTAATATTAGCTCCAGTGGAAACAGGTTTTTTAACTCAGTGAGTGATTATTAAGAATTTTAATATTTTAAAAACATTTTTATTACATGCCGAAACCCACCAAGTTTTATTGAACCGTTTTATTTATAATTTAGAATAGGATTCAGAAAGTCAACATAGCAAATTTGGCTGTGATTTTTGCATTTAAAAAAACTGGAAGGGAACACCAAAGCACAGGCAAGAATGACAAATGAAGAATCACAGGAGAGGGAGTGATAGCTCTCCCAAAGTTGAGTGTTCAATTCGCATATTCATGAACTGTCCGAAGTCAAGCAAAATTCAGTCTCTTAACAAAACCTCTGTTTTTGGAGCGATGGAGTAATCGGTTGTCAACATCTTCTGACACTTGTGTATTAAGCAGCATCTTGTAACATGTCTTCAAAAGCGTCTCTAAAGTATTTGAAATATTCACCAAAGTCATAACTGAACTGGAGACTTCACTGTGTACCTGTTAAGTTCCAAGCATGTCCCAGGCCGTCGTTACTGTAAATGAAAGACTTTATTCACCTGAATTACTGTAATTGCTATAAATAAAAATTTAGGTTTGTAGTCTTCCATATGAAATAATGTATTGATGTAGGTTTTTCAGAAAGGAACGTGTTGTTAGTGCCCAGTACTGCTTCATTGCTCAGTCCTCTGAAGGAAAGATTTCTGATGTTGCCTTTATATGGAAAACCAGTTTTATTCCATTTTATTTTGGCTTAAGTCATGTTTCTATTTCTATTCCAGAGCAATATTTAAAACAACCACAATGAGGAAAAAACCACTTAGGTAAATAATGTTTATGGGATATTTATTTTGTTTTTATCCTTTTTGTCAGGGGTGAAGGCATGTCTACAAAGCAAAGAATGTGAACAGGAAGAAAAGTATGAAATTCCTAAAGGACCACAGAAAAGCAGGCTCAACAGAGAACAGCTGGTATTTTTCTTTTGATACTACTTCTGTTATTCTTATTGTAACTCAATATCATCACCATAAGGAAAAACTTCTCCTGCCCTTTCAACAAGTACAGGTGACTGATTAAAATTTTAATTGTGCTTATTTCATGCACTTGATTCTGAGAGATGATTGTGATGAGCAGTAAAATCCAGAAGGTAATAATTTCATACTGTTAATGGATTTTTGGCATCTTGAACGTTCCCATAAACCTCTCAGAATCTGAAGTAAGTCTCACATACAGGAAGTAACTTGAAAGAAGACGTACGGCTGCTGCTTGGATTTAGTTACCATCTGTCTTTATTGCCACATACTGCAGTTTTAATGGGTAATCTTCCATTATCCTGTTGATATATAAGTGTATTAGAAATTATGACAAATTTTCATATAAGGCAATTGTGAAACTTTTTGTTTCATAAAGCACACAAGTGTGTCTCATAGTTAATTGGGTCTACGGCTTTATGAGGCATCATGCCTCCAGGAGTACTGTGCTGGAACTGTGATGGCTTTGCTGGAGACCTTAGGTGGGTAATTTATAGGAACCTGAGTATGGTAGGCAGAACTGGATGAAATAAAGATCCATTGAAAACATGTTACTCTTAGGGTCTAATTATGGTATCTCTAATACCCTAGGAATTCTTAGGGCTTTAAGTCCCACCAAATATGAATAAACATTGATAAAGAAGCTTGATGACAATTCTTCTTTGCCTTTTATTTTCTTTATTTAGTTTTTACAATGCACGCCTAAAATCTAAAGAGAGTGAAAACTACCTCAGATGGTGATTCAGTCTTAGGAAAATAATTGTAAATAGGGAACCTATAAGTGCCTAAGTATTTTTCTTGACCCAAATAGTTTTTACTTGAAATACAGCTTGTCCCAGCACCTCATTTAAGTAGCTTCTTAACTGCTTGTGACTATTATTTTTATTTCCCTCATTCATATACAGTGTTTTAAAATTCTTTGTTCTGCTTTTAACAAGCTTTTCTTAATTTCAGTTGCCAAAGCTGTTTGATGGATGCTACTTCTACTTTGGGGGAACCTTCAAACACCATCCAAAGGACAACCTTACTAAACTTGTCGCTGCAGCTGGGGGGCAGATCCTCAGTAGGAAGCCCAAGCCAGACAGTGATGTTACTCAAACCATCAATACAGTCGCGTACCATGCCAAACCCGACTCTGATCAGCGCTTCTGCACACAGTATATCATCTATGAGGATTTGTCTAATCATCGCCCAGAGAGGGCTCGGCTGGGGAAAGTCTGGATGGCTCCTTCCAGCTGGTTTATAGATTGTGTGATGTCCTTCGAATTGCTTCCTCTTGACATCTGATTACTACACCAGATGAACATTTCAAATTGAACGTACATAATGTGAGAACTTCGCCATTGTACCATTTTGACCATTCACATTTTTATAAATAGGTAGACTCATATTTTTCCTTGAATTAAAAAAAAATATGCCAGATTATGAATTCATTCTGTGTTTACCAGTTAGATGCTGAGATTTCTTAAATGACATATCTTTTTAAAACTGGCATATATTTTGATTTATCATGTCTTTTCTTCAGATTTTTAGCTATCAAAGATTAATGAGAGAGTATCAGAACTGCTGATTAAGTATATAAGTAGGAGCATTACTATCTCAGCCTTCTAATATTTTTGATGAAAAAAATCCCCACCTGCTAACAGCAAAAATATTTCACATCCTTTAGTTAAAGAATCTTGTCAAGTAATTTTTTCTGGCTTTATTATAATGAAAATAGAGTACTTGACCTAAATCTGCCACTATACATTCTTTAATTTCTCTAATAATTCTTTAACAAATTTAATTCTTTAATTATAATGAAAACAGAGTACCTGGTTTAAATCTGCTGCCATAATTCTTTAATTTCTCAAATAAGTTCTCCTATCTGTAATTATCTTCATCTTACAAGTGTTTATTTAGTTTCTTAGAATTTACTTAGATGGGTATTAACATTTTTACCCCGATTTTTATCTTATCTGTTCATCAGGAAATCATGATTCAAACCCTAACATTTTGTTCTTTGGCTATGAAAATCACCATGGGGCCAATGCACATATTTTTATTGTATGTGCTTGCTTATTGTTAGCTGTAAATTTGTAACTGTCTATCTACAATACATGTACATATTACATATAGCATTTTCTCTAACACATTTTATATCAGTATTTCTTAGAAGGCCTTACCAGACTACAAATTGTCAATCAAATGTTAATAAATTAGGAAGTAGTCTTCTCTGGTAGACCTTGCTACGTTTTGCTAAAATAGGTTTTTTTTTTAAGTTTTAATTTCTTCATAAAGTTTCTGTCATTCTTAGACTGCTATGGAGGCAGAAGTTGGGGATTATGTGATTTAGAACAGATTTTGTTCAGATGATAGAAAAGGCCATAACAATATGTCTAAAGGTAGGAGGGGGAAGGGCTTATTTATAATATCAAGACAGGCCAGGCTGCAAATAGTTAGAGGGACCACCTGAGTGTGGGGACACCTGGGAGACTACTCAGTTCTGAGTGTTCTTGTTGTAAATCAACAAGGTAGATTAGATCATGTAAAAAGATTTTTTTAAGAAGCACAGTTTTTTAATAAGTCTTCCTACAAATTGAATGTCCTTATAGTGTTAAAGACATGGGAAGAGAGACCCGGTGAGACCTGCCAGTTTGGTTCCTTATGGACCAAGAGGACAGTGTGATAACCACTGGACTAGAATATTAAGAAGCCAAAGTTGATGAACATTCTAAGATCCATTTATATGAAAGTTTGAGATTCTGCTGAGTTTTTCAAAATAAACTTACTTGACATGTTATTGTCTATAACAAGAACTATGTGAACACAATGATAACACTGCTGACCCTGAACTTCAAGGGTGAATTAGTTCTAAAAACACTCTCTCCAGCCAGTGTGTGCTTGTCCCACATTTCATTCTAATAGAGATTGATGAGCACCATAGCACCAAACAAATCTGAAGGGTTAGATAATGTCTGGATTAAATAATTTAAGGCTCTCTGGGATTTTAGTTGTCATTTTTGATTTATAACTGACTTTTAGTCACTTTCTATTGCCTCATCAGTTACATTCCTAGACAGTTTTGTGTCTGTTTCTCTGATCTGAATCTGTTTGTAAAAACACCTTTGGGGGTTGCTGCTTTCTCTCCTTCATTCATTTTCTTGGTTTATCTCCATCCCCTCTGTAAAGCAATTCTATTTTTGGTTTCTTTCTTTATTTGACAGTGGTTGATTGATTTTAAGCTCTTGAAACTTATGTTTTCTGTTTAGGTATACTTGTAATTACTTTCATTTTTCAATCAGATTCAACCTTTTTTTTTTTTTTTTTACTATAAGTCATTAAAGTTATTTGTGTTTCATATCTCTGTGTCTTCTAAGGAAGTAGCTTATTCTGCACTGTGAAGACTGAAATTCAGCAAGGCTTGTGAGAAAATCTTACAGCTAACAAAAGCTAAACTTTTGGAACACCAATGCTTTTTAATTAATTTTGGATAGAAATATTTCTAAAGTATATTGGATACTTTATTACCTTACATAAATTTTTTTGAGTACAATGTAACCTTGGTAGTTTGGGTTCATCATTAAGAGCATTAATTGTTACACAGTGATTCCTTCCTGGTTCTAGTAGAGTCACAGGATGGGTAGCTTTTCCACTATAGTAATTACATATGGCTGTATTCTAGTTGTACTTCAGTTTATAGTTTATTCCCCCTTGACAGCTGCTACTGTGTAACTATTGTGTAGCTGCTTATCTATTTCCATTGGTACTTTACCCTAATTTGTTCTGTTTTTTATTTTGACTTGCTAAGGAATAGAAACCAGAAAGGAAGTACTAATAGAATTATGACTGAAATAAGGATAATTTGTGGGGGTTTGAGTGATTCACCTAAGAGTTAGATACTTACATTTTCATAGGTGAGATTCACCATTTATTTTATGTGTCTTGATTTCTTTTGAGCCTTCTTTGTGAAATTGGGAATTAAGTGATGTCTGCATAGATGGAGATTATGTTTTGGAACGTTTGATGGTTCCTGTGTGAATAAGAAGCCTGTGGGGGTGTGTGTCACATTACATTACACATAAGTTGTTACTCCCTCTGTGGGTTGGGGTAGAAATAAAGGAGTGTTCTAAAGATTTGTGGACCTCATCACAGTCGCATGTGTCTTTACTATTCTCTAGTCAGAACATACTAAAATGGCAGGAAATAGTGCTTTTTTATTTAATAACTATAATCCTCTATTTGAAGATGGACCAAACTACAAGTTATGAACTGAACATGTGTCTTTGTAAGTCAGCCCTTTTCAAAGGTAAGTTCATAAGCACCTAAAAAAGAGAACAGTGTAGTTCTCTGTCAACTAATATCTAATATGTTTGGCTGCTTGGCTGCATACCTAATTTCTCTTATGAATTAAGGACTGTTGATTATTTGTATAGCTTTCTAAGGCACAATGTGCTTTTCATGCCTGGATGTTCCATTAGAATGGTGATATGGGGAAGTGGGGAAAACACCAGACTGTTCTGACTCCAGCCTGGCTGAATGGACTAATGACTAACACCACCACCCTGAGGAGGATTCCTTTGGCCCAGTTCTCCAGTGTACCTGTGCGGGCAGCTCCGAGAAGGTCAGTGAGCCTACAGGCAGGCAAGGAGACTGATGAAAGACGCGAGGGCATGAGTCCTGCACGGGCTTTGAAGTTGGTGGGACCTGGGTTTGTTTACCATCACTTTACTATTTTAGCTAACCTGCGTCTACACTTACAAAGTGGGGAACATACCACCCATCTCACATGGACGTGAAGATGGGCAAAAGCATTCAGCGCCTTGATAGCCTCACAGGATCACAACCTCTGAGCAGGATGGATCAGAGACATCTCTCAAAGAGCTCATTCAAAGGAAGCTTCTGGTAGCACAGCTCATCTCAGTCCTGAATAGTCCTGGTGGTTGTTCCCAACCCCAGCTCAGCTCTTGGCTTCCCTTTACTATATTAGCTTTAACAATCAGGACCTGGCCTATCTGGCTAATTTCTCACCTCTGACTTCTCTGTGAATGAAGTTTCCCAATCTCTGTAGCCTCTCCTGCTCATTCAGCTAAGATTTTGTTTGCTTTCATTCCCTGAATGCATTTACTTTAGATGCCAAGACTGCTTAGGCCTCCACACTTAGAACATGCACCTTAGAAAGCACTGGCCAAACTTCTGTCAGCTTTGTCAACAAGCCCTGTTAGTCACCTCAGCCCTTCTGAATGACCTTGGCATAACTTACTTTACACATTTATGAAGATGAGGTTGATCTTTCCCATCTTCAGTTCATCATTTATGAAGTTCTATTTTATCAATAACTACAAATTTGTCAAAGTCACTCCCCATTTCCCTGATGGCTAAAATAATATTACCAAGATATTCTTCCATCAATGAAACATACAGGTCTTTTTCTGAATGTTATCAATGCAAGCTATCTTTGAGTTTTCAAATAACTGCTTGTAAAAATTTACACAATTATAGAAAATGTGCAAGGTACAAAAACATGAGGAAGAAGGTAATGCTTAAATCCAGGGACCATAAACTGACACATTTTTTTTGGCCTTCAGAGTATTAAAAAATATCGAATGCCATTGCAAGGACATGTGTCAGTTCTTCAGTCCTCACCATGTCTTACTGTTTTACCCACTTCTATTTTATTCATTTACTTGGGCCTTGGAAATACTGAGTTTATCTACAATAGAGAATAACAGCTGTTACCATGCTTGTCTTTTTTTTTTCTATTCAAGAACATACACCTACAGCTTTTATAACTAATGAATTAAACCCTGAATATGCTACTCACATTTCCCATGTAATTAGATATTCTTATATGTAATTCCTAATAGTTGAATGGTAACCTGTCAACAAGGTGTGTTGCAATTTATTTAACCAAACCCCTGCTATTGAATATTTGGATTATTTCCACTGTAGATAAAGCTGTCTATTGTTATAATAAATTTTGGTCCTAGGGGAAGGGAGAGGTTTTTTTTTAAATGTCAAGCTAAGTAACCATCTGTCATTACCATCCCTGGAAATACAGTACACACCCTATACATTTAAATTAAGACCTATAGTTATGCTTAAAATATAAAAGTTTGATGACTTTAATTTCTTGCAATGATTTTCATGAGCTGATGAGGTTTTGTATGTAAGGTTCAAAACACTCCTGCTCTTACGGGTTAGAAAATAACCAGAGAAGAAAAGAAAAAGGAATCAAGCCTCTCCGTAAATACCTTAGAGGTTACCCTGGCTGTGCAGAGGTCCTGTGTTAAGATGAAGACACAGGCCTTGGTGGGTACATGGAAGTTGTCACCCAGCATTTCCTGTCTGCCCTTAGTCCAGTTACATACCAACGAGGTACCACAAGGAGCCTCCGGATCCTCTTGGAGGAGGTGGGCGGGGGAGGGGAGTAGTGCCGGGAATGGAGGGGATGGACGGTGCAGGGCCTGGCTCACAGACCCAAGCAAGATGTGAGAGATGACCCACTTTAACCCAACCTGTCCTTACCCTTGTCTTTGGTTTCACCAGATTCACGGGGAACTTGTCCCAGGAGGGGATCCCTCCTTGCCCCCAGAGCTACATTTTGTCATAGTCAACAGGATCTGGTGAACCCAAAATCTGTCCTCATGGGTGCGATGTTTGGCAGGCTGCTCATATAGATGATGAGGAAGTACCCTTGGCTCCCACTATCGGTGGTGGGGAGACACCCAGGGACCCCCCATGCATAGTGAGGTTTCACCCAGGGCCCTCCCTTTGGATGGTGGAGATTCCCCAGTGGGGATTTGGTCTTTGATCTGGGGTAAGAGGCCTCCCAGAGGAGTGGGCCCCTCCCCGGAATTGGGGAAGGGTGGGGATGCAGGAGACACTGGAGTTGGCCCTATGCAAAATAGGGGACTCCTTAGAGAAGCTGAGTGGCCATGGGGTGGCAGGAAATGTGGGATGGCTGTTTCTAGCAGCATTGGAAAAAGTTAACCAAGGAGAGACATGCGCTTTGGCAACAAGTGGCAGAACAGAAACGAGTTGTGGGATACTCTGAAAGAGGAATGAAAGCTGTTGAAAACAGATTGCGCTGCTGAGAGACATACTAGTGATGTAGGAGGGGGCAGAAGAAAAATGTGGGCCACACGAGTCCACGGGGGAGGTGAAGAATAGGGTGGTGCCTTAACTCAAAATGGTAGACGTGACATTAGGGGAGGAAGAGCTGGGGAAGGATGAGGGGTGGGGCTGATGGCAGAGCTGTTGCCAAGGCAACCACCTGAGGTACCAGCCCATCCCAGTTGAAAACCCGCCCGATTGTAGTTAAGAAAATAAAGACACAGCAACTGCGGGTTCCTTGGGGAGAGGACCATCCATCCCCCTCCCCAGGTTGTGGAGCACTACGTGCACTGCCCCTACATCCAGGCTGGGCTGGTGGATGTGAGATCCTGGTGTTGGCAGAAGCCCTCAGATCCTCTGCCCACATGACTTGTGTCTTTGGGATTTAGGAGTAGATGGTATTGTTCTGTCTGGGTCAGAAATGGGTAAACTGGCTTCCCTGATAACTCACCCCTCTCTCCAGCAGAGGTTACAAAATACCCCTCAGACCCCAGGGAATCATGTGCTTTTGGATTGGCTGACAGTGGCCCTCTGAGCAGTTTGGCCTAATCAAGGTGATACACCATACTGGCAAACATATGCAGAACTCCAACAGGTTTTACAGGAGTTGGGCATGAAAAATATCATCTAAAATATGGACCCCGCCCCCCCTCCATGGGAGTTATGGATGGGTCGATATGTAGGGCTTTGGGAGCCACATGCACTGGCCATAGTGACAAAACTTCCCTCTAAGAATTAATGAAGCCAGGATATGGCCAGCAGAGGAATATTCTGCAGCCAGCCCCAACTGTGCTAAACCCTGGCAACTCTGTTCAGTGGATGTGGCCCTGCACATTTTGACACATGGACTAGAGCTGGCTGGCCCTTCTAGCACCTTGGGAAAAAGGCCTGGAAGCTGGCTTCCTGTGCGTTCCTGTAGTAACAGCAGAGTGGCTCCCAAAGATCATGGTAGTGTACCCAAAACAGCCAGGAGGTAAGAGCATCTTACAGGGAAGTTTTGTTTTATCTTTGCAGTGGGTGCATGTGCCTCCCATAGCCCTATATATTGACCCATCTGTAACTCACAGGGAGGTAGGTGAAGGTCTGGTATACTAGACCAGGACGGGACCCCATTCCTGCCACTGTCCTATCACAGGACCACTCTTGCATGCATCCTACCTGATGGACAAGATTTGCCTATGTTGGTGACATTAAAATATATCTTATTGCCCTTAACATTATGTTCTTCTATAGTCTTTGCAGATTGGACCTGCCCCCTAAGCCACAGCTGCTGCTTGCTGAGTATGCCCAGATGCCCCTGCCAGTTCTACTGTGGGCCTCCTGTGGAATGTGTGAGCTATGGATTTAATTTGAGTCAGACTTTGAACTCAGGCTTGAGGATTGTCATGATTTTATTGCTACCTGTATTATAATTTCTGTTGTTATTGTGTGCTATTAATCTGGTTACAGTGCTTTAGCTTTCTTGCACAGGGGCCATTGTGCAAGATTGGGGGCAGGTAGATTGTGAGGCAAGAATTCTGGAGGGGTGGGTTATGTGGTAAAGGGAAGCTTCCACCCAGAATTTCCAGGATTTTCTCTCTGGCCTTTGTCCATTTACACACCAATGGATGTTTACCACAGCAGAGCCTCCAGTCCATCTGGGGCGAGTGTGAGTCAGGCCCTGCACTCTCTGTCCCCTCTGGCTGCAGCACATGCTGTCCTCCCCTCCATTCCTGGCACCTGATTGGCCTGGTGTTTGCCAGTTGCCAAGGACCTGCTCATGGAGTTCCTTCCAGAAGGGGTGGGCTGGCAAGGACAGCATGTGCTGCAGCCACAGGGGACAGATAGTGTAGGGCCTGACTCACAAACCCAAGCACACTGTGAGAAATAAATCACTTTAACCCAATCTATTCCTCCTCTTGTCCTACTTTGGTTTCACCAGAGTCACAAGGAACTTGTCTGGGGAGGAGAACCCCTTCCCTCCCCTGTAGCTGCAAGTCTTCTTATCAGCAGGGCTCAGATGAAGGTCATGTGTGCTTCCACAACAC